TTTTCTACTCATTTATTTTGATTATTGAGAGTATTTGCGATATGTGGAGAATGTACACTGAACACCACCACCATACTATATTCATTCTCAAACCATTGCCATTAAATGCTTCGTGTGGCTTGGTTTTTTTTTCCTACATCTTTCTCTTGTGTCACTTAGTTTGCCTTCGATGTTGGTCCCATTGTACACTTGGCCTCGACAGTGGCGGAGAGCTGCATACCATTTTATGTGTGCGGATGATTTTTGCGGTGCACATTTGGTATCTTTTGGGATTCAGCAAAAGAGGATTGACGAATATTGGGAATTATGTGTCATGGTTGACGTTCATTGCGTTCACCAAGAGCGAAGGAAAAAACCGAAGTTCACATTTTTTAGTCTTTGCCAGCTCGAAGAGCATCGCACCGACTTTTTCTTTGCAAGTAAATGGTCGCAGCACTTTTTTTCCACATGCATACACCACTCTCTCTCTATCTCTGTCGTGTGTATGTCATGTGTGAACGATTCGGGGGATGAAGTCACCAAGAAAAACAAACCACATTGTAAGCACGGCGAACAACAAAAGCTATACCGACACTTGAATGGAGAAAAAAAAACACGTCACACGTTTAAAAGAAATCCACTGCCGAAGATTATACAAGGGGTACAAATATGAAGACAAAAAAATGCTACGAAAATAAATTACCGTCTTGTGGTTTCAATTCAGATGCGGCATTGCGTTGGCCTCCAACGTTCTATGTAATCTGATCTAGGGATAATACAGAGCAAGACATCCAGTGCTATCGCATTACGATATCGTGTCAAAGTGTAAAATGCTCACGCTTATCTTATAATACGTATTATAAATCTATGTTTCGCCGTTGCCGATGCGATACACGGCAAAGACTTTACCAAAATTCTATTAAACACGTAAATTGTCGTTTGGATTAAAACAAAAACTGTGTGTCACTACACATGATCTAAGTGTCGCTATTCAGTGCAAGCATTTTCTTTCAACACTATCGACAACGATGTTATGATAAACTTTAATCAAGAAAATTTGGAAGGGACTCTTACATATGAAAATCCTACTTTGCATGAACATGGAAAATGAATAGAAATCGTGAGATTTGAAAAAAAGATGCGCACCGTTGCATACAATGTAAATTCACTTCATTTTTTTTTACTCAATTTAGTTGTTCACTGTTTCATTATAAAATTGGATTTCCTTTTTAGAATAAGCCAGAATAGAAATGAATTAGTGGGAATTCCGCGTACTTAAATTGATGCTCTTTGAATATTTCCCATTTTAGTGAAACAAGAGTCATACGTTGTAATACAAACTTTGAGACTGACTTTTGTTTGACCCTTTTTTTTCAAAACCCTTTTTGCATTTTCAATTACTTTAAGTGATTTCGAAAAGTCGTATCTGTGCTTTCCACAATCATTCTGTTGACCACATTTTGGAATCTTTTTGAGTCATTGCAGTGTGTTTCCCGTTCTTGTAATAAAATTCAAAAGTTGTCATTTTTCGGAGGCACCTCCATTGAATGGTTGGTTCTCTTGTATCTTCGTTTACTGTACTAAAATATGAACACGACGAGATACATGTTGCGTTTCATTTTAAGTTAAACAACAAACATCTTTAGTGTGTTAACAACAGATTCTGTTGAGTTTGTTTGTACGTATAAGCATGGTGTATTGTTTTTATTAATATGCTTAAAAGATAGTTTAGTGCACTGCACGTAAATCTAAAGGTCATCGATTGTACTCTGTCATAACTCCAGGAAACATCACAATAAGCTTTTTACCACTTCATTTCGTTGTCAAATATTGGTTTTGAAATTGAGCTTGAAGTAAGTTTTAGTTGAATATTTCGAAGGTATAAAATAAATTCTATACAAATTTCTTTTGAGTCATGCCGCATTTGGAAAAAAAACGCAATCGAGCCCCCAACAAACTATATTTTTCCATTTTCATTTTAGATCATTATTTATTTATCCAAGAATACTTCGAGTATGTGGTTTATGGCGAACAGACATAACCAAACTATGTCCAAGATGTCTCAATGACATCTACCTCAATTACTTTTTTCGGGAAAAATTACTTCTCTATTATCATAATTACTTGTGACATTTCAATTACAGTAAAACCTGTCAATAACGGAATCCCGTGGGGAATTTTTTTTTTCCACTATTGACAAGAATTTTAGTATTCACAGGATCCGTTATTCAGGGGTTTTTGAGTCGATTCAAACAAGATTTTCCATTATTGAGGGTAAAAAAAACAAAACATACATTTTTATGGGTATCAAATTATCAAATCAAGTGATATAATGAACGTGAAAAGGAAATAATGAAATAAAAGTATTTTTTTACTAAATGAATGAAGGAAAAACGAAAGTGAAAAAACAGTGAAATTCACTGAGTGAATGACAAACATCACTTTTTAAAATAATCAAGCAGTCTAAACAATGATTCAAAATGGGAAAGTAAATGATACTCATTTTTTACACTATCAATTTGGCAGCGATGAATTCTGCATTTCATGAAACGAAACAATGATTACCAAACTTAATGTAAATGCACTGATCAAGTGAATATGTTTTTACTGGGAGCGTCAATAATTTGTTTTTTTGAATAAATAAGCAATGATTTTGGCAGACAAAAATGAAAAATAATACTAAAATGAATGTAATGTAAATTGTACTGCACAATTTTTATGATCAGTGGTTTTAATAAAGGAAAAAATTAGTTTTATATGAAAAAGAGATGAATAAAAGACGAGAAAATATTTCGTCAAGAAATTTTTTTCCACTATTCGGAGTTTCGGTTTTCCGTTATTAACAGGTCCATTTGTTTGGGAGAGCTCAACGGTTAAATTTTTTTTCCACTGTTGACACGATTTCCACTATTCCCAGGTTCCGTCATTGACAGGTTTTACTGTACTTTTAAGTGATTTCCCTTTCGATAATGAGATACATTTTCGAATTTAATCAGTTACGTTAAAAATTGCGTTTGTATTATTTGATATTTTTCTATAAATTGTCTCACTGTGCAGTGTGCACCCTGTACTGTGCACAATGGACACTTCACAGTGTTCGTGTAAATGTAGATTGATAGCGTGTGTATTTCATACATTTTTGTCCTAGAGAAAACCCAAATTTATACTACAAATCAGTTATGTTTCAAAGTTTTGAGCGAACGTGCGTTGGAGTAACAGAGCTTGATCGCTTGAGTTGAGTTCAGTTTATTTACACAAATAAACATATTCGAAAAGTGAGTAGTGCGTCCGTTTTTGAATTTCATTAAGATTCATAAATCTTAATTGTTTTAATTTCGATAATTTATTTAATGCAAATTCCGATCGTTCGCAATATTTCCAACGAACAAATGCAATATATACAAAAAGCGATTTAACTGCTATATTTTCAGGAATGAAAGTGATTTTGG